TGACAAAAATAACGTGTATAATGTAAAAAAAAATTGTCTGTAATATTTTCAGTATCCATAAAACCATAAAAACATTGGGCAACATTTTGCAACAGGCAATTTTTGTGAAAACTATCCAATTACTATACAATAATCTAATTTGTGAAAATTTCGTTTTGATTTCAAAATCTACCCATAACCAGCCAGAATTAAAGTGGACTGATAATTTTAAATGTTTCCAAAACATTCTGACTGTAGAATACTTATAGAGTTATATATTTATTACTTTACCACATACTTTTATCAGCCACATTTCACTGGATTTTTAAAAAAGTAACTTGCAACCTTTCCAGTACATTCAAATGAATATTCATTGAAATAAGAATGTTTTCTAAGTAGTTATCTGTTGTTTACATCATATTAAATAAGCTACTTTTAAATAAACAAAACTTGCATTGAGTTTCAGGGGAAGGACAAAAACTAATGAACAAAAAAACTTAAGTGAAAAGACTATCTGGTATGTGAAATAGCATACTCTAATAGAATTGGTCATTTTGCATTTCAGCATAATAAATGAAATATGTTTAAAGAGGATCTGAAGAGAATTAATTTATCAGTTAGGGCAAACAGAAGTAAGAGATCTCTCAGTACATCTGAAAAAGAATCAAACTATTTCTGTGATAATCCATCAATTGATGAGTGTGCTCTCAATCTCGCAGAGTAAACGGATTCAGGAGAAATACACTATAACGATACACATATGGATTGAGTAAAATTTCACAGTATATTTACATGGCATTTATATTAACTTACATGGCACTCTATAAAATGGAACAAAATGAGAATGTTACTAATACAATAAAATACCAATAAATTAGAGTTAAGTACAATAAGAGAATTGTGAAAAGGAAACTTATGAAAATATTTTCTATTAAAATTTTAAATAAATACACCACATACAAGCTCAAAATACAAACCCTGGAATTCAGGTGTTAAGTGCTCAGTGTTTTGTTACATTCATTGATCCTCCCAGGGGCCAAAGTTAACAACTTTATGTCCAAGTCAGCAAACTGAGGCTCAAGGAGCTTTAGCAAGTTGCCCAGATTATTTCCTACTGGGGTATCCACACGGAGACCTCAGTACCCAGCAGCCCCCTCCTCGATGCATGTAAGTCCGTGGGGGCTGACCCAGATCGTGGGTTGTGAGATGTCTCATTTATTTCTGACATGTCCCTGGGGATAGAGGGGTCTGGGGCTAGAGGGATCTGAGGACATCAGGGAGAGCTAAAGGTGGCTGGCACCAGAATGTCACCCGCAAAGGGAGTTGCATAGGAATGGACAGCTCCCCTCTTCACATCTTTCAGTGGACCAGAGGCAGGTCAGCTCCTAATCCCCACCTTACATAGGAGGAAACAGGCCTGGGGAAGAGTGTTTGCCTGTGGGTCCTTGCACTGGTCAGGGATACAGAATTAAACCCAGCAGCCTGGGTGAGGACTTGTGAGTCTGACCACTGATCTCTTCATCCCCCACCCCCCAGCCAGGCTTTGGGACTCAAAGGAAAGACCAGCCCATCCTGATGAAATCTTGTCCCTGGAACTTCCCTGGTGGTGCAGTGATTAAGATCCACCTGCCAATGCAGGGGACACAGGTTTGAGCCCTGGTCTGGGAAGATCCCACATGCCACGGAGCAACAAAGCCTGTGTGCCGCAACCACTGAGCCTGCACTCTAGAGCCCACAAGCCACAACTACTGAGCCTGCGAGCCACAACTACTGAAGCCCATGAGCCTAGAGCCTGTGCTCCAAAACAAAGAGAAACCATCACAATGAGAAGCCCGTGCACCACAATGAAGAGTAGTCCCCGCTCTTGCAACTAGAGAAAGCCCGTGAGCAGCAACAAAGACCCAATGCAGCAATAGATAGGTAGATAGATAGATAGAAAGATAGATAGACAGAAAAGTAAATCTTGTCCCCATCTGCTCCAATCCACCAACTTCCACGGTGATATAAACCAGAAAAATGTGTAAGCACTATAAAGCAAGACTTTATTGTATTCTTCAGTGACTGAACTTAAGAATATAGAGAATATGTTAAAAATGCAGATTAAATTTAAAATGGTATGTCTAAGTATCCACTGCATTATGAATACTGCAGATTTTTTTCAAGTGAGAAAATTCTGCCAGTAAAGTTACTTCATAAAGCAAAATCACTTTTTAAAAATATTAAAAATATTTTAAAATGAGTGAAATTCCAACATACATCTTTGTTGTTTCATTGTCCTATTTGTTAAAGGAAAATAGCCAAAGGTTAATAAAGAAAAAGATTTGAGCAAATATTTTAACAAAGATATACAGCAAATGAATATCTGAAAAAACGCTCATCATGAATCCTTACGGAAACTCAAAAGTGATGTAACTCTAAAAACTCAGTTAAAAGGCTAAAACTAACACGAATGATAAACCAAGTATTCAGTAGAATATGGAAGAAATGGAATTCTCATACATTGCTGGTAAGATGCAAAAGGTACAATCATTTTAGATCACAATACGTTGGTTTCTTCAAAAGTATAACAGTTGTGGGACTTCCTTGGTGGTCCAGTGGTTAAGAATCTGCCTTCCAATGTAGGGGACAGGGAATCGATCCCTGGTCGGGGAACTAAAATCCCACATGCCGCAGGGCTACTAACCTCACAGGCCACAATGAAGAGCCCACTTGCCACAACGAAAACCCAGCGCAGCCAAAAAAAAAAAAAGTAAAACACAGGTGTGACTCACACATTATATTCTAAGTTACTGACAAAAGATAGAAGAAACATATATATTCTTCATATATTCATATAAAGAACACAATTTTTATACCAGTTTTATTTTCAGAAGTCAAAGTCTAGAAACAAACCAAATGCCCATAAAGAGAATGGATAAACTAACCATCGCATATCAAAAAATATTACTCAGCCAAAACCAAAACAAAACCCAAAAGCACTATATACCACTGACGAATCTCAAAATAATTATGATACATAAAGGAAAACAAAAAAATATGATAAACAACAAATGATTCCAATAATATAAATTCAAGAAAATGCAAGGTATCTACCGTAAGGAAAGTAAATCAATGGTTACTTGGAGAGGTGAAAAAGGCAAGGAGATTATAATAGGAATGAGGTAAATACACCATGACAGATAAGGTCACTATTAGGACAATGATGATGGTCTCAGAAGTTCACACCTATGTCAAAACTTATCAAATTGTACACTTTAAATATATTCGTATTAGCACATGTAAATACCTCAGTAAAGCTTTAAAAAATAGCTCAAGATTTAAAGATCTCTATGTCCCAGTCCTTTCAGAAAATAGGTTTGGCAACCTTATACTGACTCCATCATTTCTATCCTTATGCCCGGGGGTTTGGGGTGGCAGTCAGTCTTGCCTCAGTGGCAGCAAATACGGTGAGCAATAAGGAACATTTCCACCTGAAGTCAAACAGGAATGCTGTCTGGGTCACAAGAGCCACATCTGTGGACTAGATCCCCTTTTTTCTCTTTCTTCCTGCCCATGCAGTAATGGCCTTGAGGTGAATATTATAGAGGCTAAAGGAATCCACAAAAACTTTCAATTATTTTTATTTTCTCTGATGACTTCAGCTATACAAGATAAACATGCCTGGAGATACTGAGATTTGTGTACAAACTGATTCTCCAGTCATTTTTACATTGACACACTAGTAGGCTACAGCCTCTTCGCCTCCCTAGTAAACCAGTTTCTGTACCAATTATGGTTTCCCCTGGACCCAATGGTCTTAGAACCAGTGACACTAGGCCAATAAATTGTGGCCATCAGGGAATATGGCTCTCTGTAGACCTGGGGAAGATAATCCCTCAACAGTGCTGAAATGCCCTGTGACCTCTCCTTTGAGGAAGGGAAAAAATTCATTCTGGGGCTTCCCTGGTGGCGCAGCGGTTGAGAGTCCGCCTGCCGATGCAGGGGACATGGGTTCATGCCCCAGTACGGGAAGATCCCACATGCCGCGGAGTGGCTAGGCCCGTGAGCCATGGCCGCTGAGCCTGCACGTCCAGAGCCTGTGCTCCACAACCGGAGAGGCCACAACAGTGAGAGGCCCGTGTACCAAAAAAAAAAAAAAAAATCATTCTGCTTTCAAAGCTCTTGAGATTCTCACAGCTGGCACTTCTCAGGGACATCTCCGAGACTCCTGAAACACAAAGCCTCCAGTCTTCACATGAAAACCAGAAATCCCTGCAGTCTTTCCTAAGAGGCAGTGGGCAGCAATGCAAATTTGGTCAAAACTGGCAAGCTACTGTCTGCCATCATACTGTCCCTCCTCAGACACAAAAATTTTGAGACCCCTAAAAGTTGTTCTCCCCTTTATGCTTACACAGTACAAACCTGTGTATAAACTACCTGCAGAGTAAACAGAACTTCCAAGATTAAAGAGGGTGTAAAGAGCTTGTAAGGCCTTGATTATTGTACAAGCCAAAGCAATCTGCAGCAGGCAGTTACCTAGTTCATGATTTGGAAGCTGGAAAAACTTACTACTATCATGTGAGACCAACATCCCTGTGTTGTCATTCTCTGCTAGCTGTCAGCTGAACTTTTGGTATCTTCTGGGCCAACACTGACCAGATCCATGTCCAAAGTAAGTCAGGGAGGAGTGAAAGCTGATGCCATAAATGTTCAGGTGACTCCTAACTTGGCCAATACATTGCAGGACAGAGGTCAGCTTCCCTGAGCACACTGGGTTGGTGACTGATGCACACTGTGTGAACCTACCAGGTGGTGGAGGTGAAATGGCCTTGACCCCAGAGATGGAAGTGACATAAATCTGGGAAAAGCCCTGGACAGGTTAGAGTGCAACATAGTCACATGCTTCCCACATAACTGAAACTTATGGGGAAATATCCCCACTGTGCATGCTCAAATGTCTGAGAGTTAATTCAGACATATGTCTCCTCAGTTTCCTCTGGAATCCTTACAATGAACAAGAAAACTGCACATCCCCAGTACATCTAAGACCTTTCTCTAGTGTGAACTCTCTGATGCTGAGAAAGGGTAGACTTTCGCATAAAAAATTTCCCACATTCTCTACACTCGTATGGCCTTTCTCCAGTGTGACCTCTCTGGTGTTGACTAAATTGGGAACTATCCCTAAAGGACTTCCCACACTCACTGCACACATAAGGCCTTTCTCCCGTGTGAACTCTCTGATGGTAGCGGAGTTTAGAGCTAGAGATAAAGGATTTCCCACACTCACTGCACTCATAAGGCCTATCTCCTGCGTGAACTCTCTGATGATAACGAAGGGTGGAACTGGAGGTAAAAGATTTCCCACATTTGCTGCACTCATAAGGCCTTTTGCCTGCATGAACTCTCTGATGATAAGAGAGGGTGGCACTACTAGTAAAAGATTTCCCACACTCACTGCACACATAAGGTCTTTCTCCTGTGTGAACTCTCTGGTGTCGAATCAATATGGAGCTATTGGTAAAAGATTTCCCACACTCACTACACTGATAAGGCTTTTCTCCTCTGTGAACTCTCTGATGATAACCAAGGCCAGAGATAGAAGTAAAAGACTTCCCACATGCACTACACTCATAAGACCGTTCTCTATTATGAATTTTCCGGTGTGTTGAGAGGGAAGATTTTTGGCTAAAAGATTTCCCACATTCACCACACTCATAAGGTCTTTCTCCAGTGTGAGCTCTCCGGTGTTTATTGAATTGTGATCTATCCTTAAAGGATTTCCCACATTCACTGCACTCATAAGGCCTTTCTCCACTGTGCACTCTGTGATGATAACGGAGACTGGCACTAAAAGTAAAAGATTTCCCACATTCACTGCATTCATAAGGCCTTTCTCCTGTGTGAACTCTCTGATGATAACGGAGGGTAGAACTAGAGGTAAAAGATTTCCCACATTCGTTGCATTCATAAGGCCTTTTTCCTGCATGAACCCTCTGATGATAACACAGGGTGGAGCTGGAGGTAAAGGATTTCCCACATTCACTGCACATATAAGGCTTTTCTCCTGTGTGAACTCTCTGGTGTTGAATGAGTGTCCACCTATTGTTAAAAGATTTTCCACATTCACTACAGTTGTAAGGCCGTTCTCCTGTGTGAACTCTCTGGTGTAAAAGGAGGTTATTCCTTCGGATAAAGGATTTCCCACATTCACTACACTCGTAAGGCCTTTCTCCAGAATGAACTCTCTGATGATACTGGAGGTCAGACCTAGAGATAAAAGATTTCCCACATTCACTGCACTCATAAGGCCTTTCTCCTGTGTGAATTCTCTGATGATAACGGAGGGCAGAGCTAGTGGTAAAAGACTTTCCACATTCATCGCACCCATAAGGCCTTTCCCCAAGGTGACCTCGTTCATGATACTGGAGGGTGGAGCTACAAGAAAAAGATTTCCCACATTTATTGCACACATAAGGCTTTTCTCCTGTGTGAATTCTCCGGTGTCGAATGAGTGTCCACCTGTTGTTAAAAGATTTCCCACATTCACTGCACTCATAAGGTCTTTCTCCAGTGTGTACTCTGTGATGATAACGAAGGCTGGAGCTAAAGGTAAAAGACTTCCCACATTCACTACACTCATAAGGCCTTTCTCCTGAGTGCACTCTCAGGTGTATAATTAGGTTATTTTTTCTGGTAAAGGACTTCCCACATTCACTACACTCATAAGGTCTTTCTCCAGTGTGAACTCTGTGATGATAACGGAGAGCAGTACGAGTGATAAAAGATTTCCCACATTCACTGCACTCATGAGGCCTTTCTCCAGAATGAACTCTCTGATGGTAACGGAGGTCAGAACTAGAGATAAAAGATTTCCCACAATCACTGCACACATAAGGTCGTTCTCCTGTGTGAGATCTCTGATGATAACTGAGTGCAGACATAGAAGTAAAAGATTTCACACAGTCACTACACTTATAAGGCCTTTCTCCAATTTGAAATCTCCTATGTGGAATGAACACTGAGCTATGGCTAAAAGATTTTGAACATTCACTGCACACATAACTGTTTTCTCCACTGCGCCATGGATGGGGATAAATGAGGACAGATTTGTGGCTTAAGGATTTCCCACATTTGCTGCATTTGTACTGCCTTGCCCCAGTATGAATTCTTCGATGTTGACAGAGGGTTGAGCTTTGCCTAAAAGATTTTCCACATTCACCACATACATGAAGTTTTTTTCCAGTGTGGATTCTCTGGTGCAGAACAAATGAGGATTTGTACTTGAATGCTTTCCCACATTCACTGCACACAAAACACTGTCTTCCACTGTGGACACCATGGTCCTGAACAAGTGTGTGTTTGGGGCTGAGGGCTTTCTTGCATTCTACCCAAGTGTGACGGCTTTTCCTGCCTTGTGAAGTTGACCCGCACTGGCTGATTATGTTTGGCTTCTCCACAGTATGAGTGTCCTGTTGCTGTAGATGTCCCAAGATGGTTGGGAAGTCCTTTTCAAACTCCCCACAGCACAATGGCTTCTGTGACACATGGAATCTGCAGCTCTTCACAAACCAGGCCTCATCCACACTGCTTCTGAGGGTTTTCTTTTCCATGTACTGCTCCTGGTGCTGCTGAAAGTTTGCAGTAAAATAAAATCGTTTTGCGCATGCTCCACACCTCAAAAGTTTCTGGCTGTGTTGTGTTTCCCGGCACTCAGCCAAGTGGAAAACGTTTCTCAAGACTGGACCACACATCTCACAGGGGTGTGTCTTCTGGGAAGACAAAGCTGCCTTGGGAATCCTAGCCTGTGACACTCCTAGAGAAGTGATCTGTTCAAAAGGTGCCTCTGCATCCTCTGCTCCACAGCAGCAACCTGAACAGAAAGAAATGCTGGTCAAGTACATGTCGACTATAGGGAAGGGTCAAGTTCATCACAGATGTCCATTTGTCTCATCTATGAGATGCTTTTCAAGATACAGAAGTTGGAATTCAGTTGAAAGAACAGCCAACTGTTTTGCATTACTGAGCCTCAAGATCACAGAATAGTGGAGACCTCACCAGGGGAAGGAAACAAAAGACAGGGTGTGACATAAGGAAGAGAGGCAGGGTCTACAACTCATTTCTTTCCCAACGGCTTCTTGCAGGATTTTTCTGCTGCTGATGTGAGATGGTAGAAACGTGCATCTAAGCCCATTAAAATCTCACAGCAACATATTAGCTGCTATTCAAAGTCAATTTAGGGAAATGTGAACATACCACAACACAACCAATGTTGGTGAGTACTACAGAAAAAGTGGTGAGAGAAATGGGAGAGATGTGGAGTCCAGAGAGGTAGAAATTATCCCTGGGCTGGAAGTCACAGTAGGAATTACAAGTAGTAGAACTGACAAGTCAGGCAAGTGTTAACAGTGGAAAAGGAAATATACAAGTAAGGTATAGCCACTGCAAATGGCACCTAAACCCTGGTGGAACAAAGATAGATTCCTGGTATGATCTGAAAACAGCCTGATGTCATACTCAGCTGCCATTCACCAGGACCAGGCGCCCTCTGAGCCCACCATGCCATGACTGGAGTCATATCCATCCTGGCACATCTGTAAGCCCTAGTTAAGCAACTACATGGTATATGCAGGATACAAATCCTAAGGTAAAAACAGGATAGATGAATGACTTCTACTGTCACAGAGCAACTCAGCACATAACAGACCCAGAAAATCGATCTAGAAGTGGTATCAGCGTAACAGCAAAGGACACCAGCCTTTACCACCAACAAAAAACAGACAGCTAACTGCTAACAAAATTGGCCCTTGTAGGACTCAGAAATCCAATTAAGACACTGCAGCAACACAATGGAAATTGAAAAGTAGAATAACCACACAAAAAAGATCGCTGGGGGGCTTCCCTGGTGGTGTAGTGGTTAAGAATCCACTTGCCAATGCAGGGGACATGGGTTCAAGCCCTGGTCCAGGAAGGTCCCACATGCCATGGAGCAACTAAGCCTGTGCACCATAACTACTAAGCCTGAGCTCTAGAGCCCGTGAGCCACAACTACTGAAGCCCATGCACCTAGAGCCCATGCTCCACAAGAGAAGCCACCAATGAGACACCCACACACTGCAATGAAGAGTAGCGCTGCTCGACACAAGAAAGCCCACACGCAGCAACAAAGACCCAACGCAACCAAAACTAAATACATATTTTTTTTTAAAAAAAGGATTGCTGGGGACATCAGCTTAACAGACACATGGAGATGGATAGGAAATAAGATGAATGGTGGGAGCTATGTGTATCAGCCAAATGGTGGCTGCCATCACATTCCCCAGTGCCCTGCTCTGCAAAGGACCCCAGTAGCCTTTGCCTCAGAGAACCTCAACAGGCCCCGATATAGCTGCGGATCCCACCGTCTGCACGGCAGAGAAGGGCAAGTGTTTATAGGTGTGGACACCAGCTGCCTGCTCTGCAGAGGGTACTGGCAGCTCTTTCAATAAGGTAACTAATAGCCATGACCACAGGGGACCTGCAAGAGAATAATATGCTGAATCACCCCTGTTCCCCAAAAAGTAGCTACTGCTCTATTTCAAAACCATGGCTGCCACCCCCATAAATCCTGCACACATCCTAAACCCCAGAGACCCAACTGTGCCATGGATGCCCATATTCCATAACCTGACTCCACAGCTGTCACCTGAATGCCCGTCTCAGGCACCAGATTCATGGCCACTATAGGTGAGTTAGTTCCTCAGACCCCAGACACTTCTGTGTGCACCCATACTCCAGTCAAGGCTCCATCACTGCTCAGTGTGCAACTGCATCTCACAAAGCAAAGTCAACACTGCTGCAGGCTGTTCAGTGTCTGGGACCCTAGAACTGCTACTGCTCTGCATTTATCACACCCTAGAATCCAGATCTATATCTGCTCCACAGTGCCCAAACATCAGACACCAATGCCATCACCACCATGAAGCACCACCCCCCAACCAAGAGCCTGACTTACTATCAAGAGGGAACCCCTCAGTCAAAACATTTCCCTTGTGAGAAAGAGATCAGGCAATCCCCAGCAGTCTTCTCTACTACTGTGGATACCCACAGCTTTAGCTATTGAGGACCCCTGCAGTCTTTGCTGACACTGATCTCAGTTGACAGAGCTGGACAGACTCTAAGGCCCTGGGCCTTGTAGTCGGAACAGCAACTACCCATCAAGTTGGCATACTAACACCCAAAAAAAGGTGAAGACCTTCCCCACCAAAACCTTACATAAAGTCTGAAAGAAATGACTGCTCCATGAAATGTATTAACATCAAAGCAAGACTACATGAAACACACACAAAATAATCAAGGAAACATGACACCCCCCAAAGGAACATAATAAGTTATCAGTTGCCCCAAAGAAAGGGAGATCTATAAGCTGTCAGACAAAAAATTCACAATAATTGTTTTGTTTGGCCACATCATGAAACATGCGGGATCTTAGTTCCCTGACCAGGGATCGAACCCATGCCCCCAGTAGTGGGAGCACAAAGTCTTAACCACTGGACCACCAGGGAAGTCTCTCACAATAATTGTTTTAATGAAGCTCAATGAACTACTAGAAAACACAGACAATCCAACAAAATAAGGAAAACAATATGCAAACAAAATAAGGTTTCAAACAGAGAGACAGAAAATATGAAAAAGAACCAAACAGAAATTATGGTGAAGAGTATGATGAACAAAATGAAAAACACAGTAGCGCATCATAGCTAACTTGATCAATCAAAACAATGAATATGAAACTGAAGGTAGGTCTTTGAAATTATCCAATCAAAGGAGAAAAAAGACAAAACAACTAAAAAGAGTAAAAAAAAAAGTCTACAAGAATTATGGGACATTGTGAAACAAAACAATATTTGCATAATGTGAGCCCTAGAAGGAGTAGAGAGAGAGGAAGAGGCAGAAAATTTATTTAAAGAAATAATGGGTGAAAACTTTCCAAATCTGGGAAAAGTGGACATTCAGGTACATGATGCTCAGAAGTCCCCAAACAGATTCAATCCACAGACGACTTCACCAAGACACATTAATATAAAACTCAAAAAGTAATGATAAAGATAATTTTAAAAGCTGCAAGAAAAAAGAAACCCCTAATACAAGGGAACCCCCATAAAGTGGTTTTCTTAGCTGAAACACTGCATACCATGAGAGTGAGATGATATGTTCTAAATACTGGGGTGGGGGAAAAAATTGCAAACCAAGAATACTTAACCAGCAATACTATTCTTCAGTAATAAGGAAGAAAGACTTTCTCAGACAAACAGAAACTGAGGAAGTTCATCACCACTTGACGTACCTGACCAGAAGTGTGAAAGACTAAAGAATTCTTCTAGCTGAAATAAAAGTATGCTAACTAGGGACTTCCCTGGTGGTCCGTGCTCCCAATGCAGGGGGCCCGGGCTCCATCCCTGGGCAGGAAACTAGATGCCGCATAGTGCAACAAAGATAGACGATCCTGCATGTTGCAACTAAGACCCAGCACAGCCAAAATAAAAAATAGAGTATGCTAACTACTAACATAAAATCATATGAAAATATAAAACACACAGGTAAAGATAAGTATATGGTCAAATTCAGAATACTCTAATACTGTAAAACTGTGTTAATCACTCAACTCAACTACAAAGGATAAAAAACAAGAGTATTAAAAACAACTATACCCACAATAACTTGTTGATAGTTACCCAATACACAGTATAAAAACATGTAAGTTGTGACATCAAAAACATAAAATGCATGTATGGGGGAAGTATAAGAGTAGATTTTTTGTATGAGATTGAAGTTACATTGTTATCAGCATAAAATAGAATGCTATGTTTTATATAAGCCTTATGGTAACCCCAAAGCAAAAACCTATAGCAGACACAAAAGATATGAGAAAGGAATAAAAGTATATTACCACAGGGACTTCCCTGGTGGTGCAGTGGTTAAGAATCCGCCTGCCAATGCAGGGAACACGGGTTTGAGCCCTGGTCCGGGAAGATCCTACATGCCACAGAGCAACTAAGCCCATGTGCCGCAACTGCTGACCCTGCGCTCTAGAGTCCACGAGCCACAACTACTGAGCCCACGTGCTACAACTACTGAAGCCCGCATGCCTAGAGCCTGAGCTCTGCAACAAGAGAAGCCACCGCAGTGAGAAGCCCGCACACCACCAACGAAGAGTAGTCCCCGTTCGCCACAACTAGAGAAAAGCCCACGCCCAGCAACAAAGACCCAATGTAGCCAAAAATAAATTTTTTTTAAAAAGGAGTTGGTACTTAAAAAAAAAAAAAGTATATTACCACAGAAAATCATCAAGTCACAAAGGAAGACAGCAAGAGAAGAAGAAGGAAACTACAAAACAGCCATACAATAATAAGATGGCAACAGTAGGTCCTAAAAATATTCTCCAATCAAATGACATACAGTGACTGAACAGAAAAAAAAAAGACCTCAACTATATGCTGCCTACAATAGAGTAACTTCAGCCTTAAGGACACACACAGGCTGAAGGTGAAGGAATTGAAAGAGATATTCCACGCAAATGGAACTCAGAAGAGAACAGAGTAAGCTATACTTAAGTGAGACAAATAGCCTTTAAAACAAAAACTATCACAAGAGAGACTTCCCTGGTGGTGCAGTGGTTAAGAATCTGCCTGCCAATGCAGGGGACACAGGTTCAAGCCCTGGTCTGGGAAAATCCCACATGCTGTGGGGCAACTAAGCCTGTGCACTACAACTACTGAGCCTGCACTCTATGGTGAGCTACAACTACTGAGCCTGCGTGCCACAATTACTGAAGCCCACGTGCCTAGAGCCCGTGCTCTGCAACAAGAGAAGCCACTGAAATGAGAAGCCCAC